TTACGGGATTCGAGCTGGTCACCTCGCACAACATCCACACCGTAACCAGTTGGGAACTTCATCGCTAAGTAATAGGTGGACACTATCGCACGTAGAACGTGTGATAGGCTGACCTATAATCGCGTTATAGGGGATGTAGTCCCTACTACTAGGAAAGTGTGCTTGAGTCGTACGACGTTCGGCCACAAGCCTCCCTCCACTGGTACTGTGACCCAACCAAGGGGCTTGGCCTCTTCTCTACTAAACCCTACCAAGGGTGTGTCTGCTGGCTTTAGGTTACCCCATTGTAACTACAGCTTATCGAAGGTCTCCTTGAAGAGGATATCCACCGAGCTGCCTGAGTCCACCAAGATCCGCTTCACTTCGAAGTCATTGATTCTGAGTTTCACGACTAAGGCATCATCATGCGGATACTGAATCTCGTGCGCGTTGTCTTCAATGAAGTAGATAGGCTCTTCGAGCCGAGGTCGCGTTGGCGGGTTTGCACCTTCATTCTCCAATTCACGGGCCAATGTTCTCCCCGCTGCCAATGTACACCCCGCAATGATGGACCCGCCGGTGATCATATTGGTCACACCGCGGAGTGGTCTCTCCTCTAGTAACTGTTGAGGTGGCTGCTCGTTCTGTCTATTGCTTTTTGGGGCATCTTTTTTCCGATCTCCCTACCAGTCCCCTTGTCCTTTTTCCTCATGCAAAATGTACTTCTTCAATTACCCACGGCGGATTAGTTCTTCGATCTCATCGCGGAGGTCTCTACAGTTTTTTGTGCTATGACCGTGGTCTCGATGAAAGTGATAATAGACATTCAGGTTCCTGGTCGTTGGGTCTCCCCGTAGTCTGGGTGGCTATCTGACGATAGAGGAGTCTTTGATGGCCATTAGGATCTCTCCCCTCTTGGCGTTCAGGGGAGTATAGTTGGTTCTCTCCTTAGGTGGGCTCCTGGAATGCCGACCCGTCCTATAACTTTGCGAGGGAGACTTACTCCTCGAGCTCGGGGACTTGCTTCTTCACTTAGGGGACTTGCACTTTTTTCTTTTTTTGTTGCTCGTTCCTTCATCTTCTCTCTTCCTCTTTTCTCCTAGCTGGTTGTCGGTTTTCTAGTTTATCTCTTCTTCTGTACTGATAAACTGATCGACCAACTTGAGGAACTCGGTGATGTTCTTCGGCTTGTTGGTCACGACGTGCCATTCGTACTCTTTGTGAGTGATTCCTTTTCGTGCTATGGTGAGACATACCGCTGGGTCAAGGTTCGGCATCTGCAGGCATGTTTCGTTGAAGCGCTTGATGTAGCTTCAAATTGACTCTCCTTCCCTCTGCACCACGTTTAGAAGGCTCTCCTATGACTTCGGACACTTTTTACTGGTGATGAAGTGGGTCGTGAACATGTCCACAAACTGCGCCCAGCTTCTAATGGAACCCGACGCAAGGTTTCTATACCAAGTTCGAACTACTCCTCTAAATGTGGTGGAGAAAGCCACGCACATACAAGCCTCATCGGCCCCGACAAGATGCATCTAGGACTGGAATGCGTCTACGTGATCGCTAGGATCAAAGGACCCATCATACTTGTTTAGCGGCAGGCACTGTTCTTGTGGCCATCAAGCTCACCTCCTCTCTTTCTCGACCTTGATCCGCTGGATGGCTGGGCTTTGTTGATGGATCGTTCCTTACAGATGAACGACGAGTCTTGCGGCGTCGCCGCTGTTGCTTCTTTGGTGGTGCAACATTCGTACTGCCAGCCTTAGTATTGTCAAGTACTTCGATCTTACTCCGAATGGTAGGGCAAGGTGGTTCAGGGGTTTTCCTCACCGCGTGTTCAGTGCTGGCTGTCGCGGGGAATTGAGGGGTCTCTTATCGGGCCCCGAGCTAACGATCCATATGTGGATTTTGCTGATTGAGCCTCTTGGGCTGGCTGGGTTTGGGCCTATCTCTTGAGCTCTCTTCGGGAAGTAGGGGGTACGCCGGTCACCTACTGTGCCCCACGGCGGGGTCCGTCTTGAGGAAGGGACCAGTACCTACGAAGTTTTCTCACCGCAGGGGGGAGACTGGCGGACGTTCTGGTGAGCCCAGTGCTGACTCTCATTCTGGATTTGCCCTTGACAATGGTTTACCGGCTGGCTTGGTTGCAGTGGTGGAAACTGCTGCTAATATTGTTGATAAAAGTAGTACAGCTGAAACTATTGGAACTGGTGGATCTGCTGCATGTGGATTTGCATCGTTCGAACGCTCTGGGCGAGATCGTTGAATTGGGAGTTCTCAACCCCTAGGGGAATCACGGAAGGCTCCGAGAATGTGGTGCTCACCTGGGGGAGCGGTACACTCACCTGTTGGGTAGTGTACGAAACTGACAGTGACAGGACCTTGGAAGCAATCAGGGGAATGGTGAACTGGCCGATAGTTGCCGAGGGTCCTTGGGAAACGACTGTTTGTTGCTCTTGCCTCCCAGTAATGTTCATGTCACTCTTTCCGTTGTGGCTGGATGATGCCATTGAGGTTGAAACCGAGATTAAGACTGTTACTAGGATTGTGATGACCTTTCGACCGTATCCCATAGACGGCGCCAATTGATGATACGCAATCTGGAAGCTCCTAGCTAGAGAGTTGTCTGGACGTGCTTCGCGTGGCGAACTAGATCAATCTGCGAAACAGAGATCAGAGAGACCAGGGTGGAAGACCCGGCGAGGTCACTCCAATGCTTAAGTCAATAATATATTGTGGTTGCGAGCTAAAGTTTTGGATGCTGAAGAACTTGAATGTAAACAATCGCGCACACCTGGGCTTTGGAGGGGTTGTTGCCTGGCTGACTAGGCTCCATTTATTGAGTTGTCACCCTTCGGGCAAATCGCATCCACGTGACCTATTCTTGCTAGGTTGTGCCAAATCGCCCCTTCCTCTCGACGCACAGCGGTGGCGGCGGTGAAGTTCTTCTCCCCATCGCTTTTCTCCCATTTTTCTCTCCATCCTCTCTGGCATTCCCTATGTTTTGTTCATCCCCACCGTCCTTCTTTCTTCCACCGAACTGGATCCGGATGATCGATTGACCCTGCTTGTCGTCTCCTTCCTTTAACGCAGACGACGGTTACCGGCGGCGACGCTCTCAGCACTCCTCATTCTGTGTCGACTACAGCAGCTTCCATCTGAGATTTCGTCCTCAACCCATAGTCACAAGCTGGTATCGCCTTCAGTGTTCGGGAAAATCTATCTGGACGCAGAATCCTTTCCCTGTTCGTTGATCGTTCTCAGGCCAAAATCCCAGGTCTCCTTATTCCCTCTCTAGTAAAATCTTGCTTAGTTTTATTTTATTGTTTTTTTTTTTTCTTTTTAACCTTTGTTTGAGTCGATCGAGAGTTGGAGGGAGTAAGAATCGACAGAGCTGGTAATCGTTCCCGCCGAACCAGCTCCTGTAGGTGGTTATCAGTACTTATTCAATCCCGGCGTTTTTCTCCTTTATTCGTAGCATTGGTTAGCTTTCACAGAATTGTTTGCTAACTATTTAGAAGATGAATCGTTGTTTTGATTATTTTTTTTAGAATCCTTTTCCTTCCCCCCGATTCATTTTACTGATAGTTTTTTAGACAGTGAAGTGTTGGTTTAATTAGAAGTAGTAAGTTACGGCTGAGAGTTAATCTCTGTTCTCTTGTTTTCTCTGATTAATTAATATTAATTAGTTGTTCGACTATCTCCGGTGACTGAATGATTTTGTAGGTTTAGGAAATTGAATAACTACACCCTTATACTTCTAATCGCCGTCGTTAATTCTTAATGGAGACACACAAAAAATCGTTTTTACCCTTAAGTAAGGGAAGGATGCCAAATAGTAAATTACTATTTTGACCCTATATTTAATATAACAGGCGTGGGGTGGAGAAGAACATCTTGCACTACTGTTGCAACTTCTGTCTGGTGGTGACAGTGAATTATCACCGTCGTCTCTCTAAATTAGTATTTAGAAATCCTGCAACATCGCAGTTTGATGAGGGACTGATAGGAATGAGGGAGGAATGGAGAACCAGAGAGAGAAACGAGGTGACAAAACTGTGGGAAGGGAAAGAGAGAGGACGAAGGTGAGAGAAGAATGGAATTGAGAGGGAAGCGGGCATCTTCCGAGGAGGATACGACCAGTTGGCCACTGTCAAACAATGACGGCCAATGGCAGAGAAAGCGGGCAAATCTTGAACTCATTTGACGGATTCGTTGCAGCTTCGGTTCCGAGAAACATTTGTTGAAGCAAAATCGAATAAACAGAGGAGGAGCTGCATTAAATGTACTCGACAAAACTCGTCTGTTACTCTTGTGTCGAATCAAAGCTGCAACCCGTTTGATGCTTTGCAAGAAGCAAGAAGGGACAAAGTTCTCAGAGCTGCCGTGGATCTCATCAAAGCTGCACCGACCAATTTCTCAGAGTTGCCGTGGATCTCATCAGAGCTGCACCAACCAATTTCTCAGAAAATTAGACAACTAAGCCTCAGCCGTATCAGACCCCAACAATTGCAACATCTCATACAACTCAGCTCCCCTGCTTGGATGGCTACTGATGACAACAGTGAAAGCGTCAACTTGAGCAACAATTCCCTCTTTTTCTGCTCCTCTTTTGAAACGGGAGAGACCGGAACCAGCAAGGAAGGAGAGGCTGACACCCCGATTTTTTTTGTTGAGTTTCTCTGCTATAACGACAACGCCGACTACGACTGTGGAGGAGCGAAAGGAAATTGGTATTTTAGGTATAATATAACATTAAATCAAACAGTGGAATAATATGTAAATGATATATAACGGAGAATAAACGAAAAAGGAACTGTGCAACAATTATTAAAAACCGTAGTAATATTTTAAGACAATACTGAAATAATAAGCTTATAATTAGTTATGGGTTTGTTTTAAAATGGTAACTTGACTAACAAATATCGCTAATTTACTATTTTACCCTTTATTATCTTCGATTCATTTTACTATTTAACCTAATGTTCGATCGTGTGAATATTAAAATATTAGAACAGACACTCATGGCTGTCAGTGAGGTTGAAGATCTCCGGCATAAGACGACCGGAGAATGAGTTGTATTGCAAGAAGAGGTCGCGAAGATGGGAGCATTTAGAAAGAGAAGAAGGCGTTGGAACGAAGGCTAAGCTTGTAGAGTTCGGTGAGTTTACCAAGGTGGTCGGTTAGTTGGCCAGCGAGTTGAAGACGAGGCAAGCGGAGTTCGCTAACTCGACCATTATAGCAGGCAATGCCTCGCCAGTTGCAGGGAGTGGATGGTGTGGAAGCATCCCAGCCGCTCAACGCGGCAAGCGAGTCATGCAGATTGAGCTTGAACGATACCGAGGCCTGGATCTCAGCTAGTGCTTCAGGACTCCTCTAGGCGCATGCAGCATAACAGGGTGGTGGAGAGGAGCGTATGTTAACAGAGGTGGTGACCGGTGAATGTCTGTTTCCTGGGTTCTCGCTTCCCCTAGAGATCTAAACCAGAACTTAAAATTCTCACCTGCAAGAGGACCATGGTGGACTAAATGGGCTGCAATTTGATTCTCATCAAGAGGGATATTTGTGAAGTTGACGACTCTCACAGCCACTTTTTCTGGGTTGAACTTGCATTCACCAGGTTTTCCAGTGTAAGGGTATGTCTCCTCCTCTTCCAAGCCACCGGCCTCCATCAAATATTTGTAGGCATTGGTCATTGGGCCTCCACCGCATCCACTGTCACAGGAAGTCATGCCCGTTGCATGGCACTAAACAAACAAACACAAACATGGAACAAATCATCAATTCAAAAATGAAGTATGAAGCAACATTGCTTCTGGATTCTGATAAATGGAGCTATGGTTAGAGTCATCAAAGCAGTGAACCATGTGATCACAATCCACAAGTTGTTGCTCGCTAAGGCTGACAAGCTTCCCAGTTGCTATAAAGTTGGCCCCTTCGACAAATCCTGTGGTAATGCTAAATGCCCAACAAGATCCACAAGTTACTTGCATCAATTTCGACGTTTTCAACTTTCCACTGAAGTTTCAGAGCAGAGAAGCAACAGGGATTAGTGGAGAGGAGAGTATGTTAGTAGAGGTGATGACCGATGAGTGAACGGTCTAAGCAGCGTCTTTCTCTGTTTCTTGGGTTCCCACTTCCCATAGAAACCTTTGAATAAAAAAGAACAGAGAAAGACGTTAGAAAGTGTAGCGATTTTGATGCGAACTGTTTCGTAAAACAGACGAAGTCGCTGATAGAGAGAGGGAGATAGTGAGCGGGAATATTATATATGAAATAGGATTGGACGCTTAAGGGCATTTCGGTCAAAAATATATTTAACAAGTTGATTCATCATTTAAGGGCAGTTTGGTCATGAAACTTGCATTTAACTTGATGTGGACAACTTGGGTCAATGAACTATAATGGTATTCTAACCGATGGTGAGTTTAAGAGAATTCAAAGTGATGGTGGGTTTTGTACTATTACACATTACTTAATTTCCTAAATGGTATGCTAAAGGACGAGCTTTAGAAAATAAAATCTTAATGACATAGTGAGTTTTGGACGATTTGAAAAGTGATGGTGAGTTTTAAGAGAATTCAAAGTGATGGTGGGTTTTGGGCTCTATTACCCATTAGTTAATTTCCTAAATTTTAAGAATAATTTAAAAAGATTATATTTTTTTCTTTTTTCTCTCTATTTATCATTTGACTTGACTTTTGGGGTTGTGATATATATATATATATATATGAAAAAGAAAAGTAATAAAATGAAATAAAAGTATAAAAATAAAAAAATAAAATAAGAGAAAGATAAAAGAATATAGAAAATTTCAAAAAATAAAAAAACAAAAATAAAAAATAAAGTTCCATAAGAAGATAACAAAATAAATAAATAAATAATTGACAAAAGTAAGAAAAATAATTATTTAATTAAAAAGTATAATACTAATAAATAAATAAAATAAAAAATAAAAAAAACAAAAAATATTAATTAATTGTTTATAAATAAATATATAAAAATAGAAAAAGGTAGAAATATAAAAATAAATAAAAACAGGGTATTTTCTTTTGTGTTGGCTTATTCTTGTGATTTGCTTTCTTTATCGTCATTTTTGTTTTAATAATTGTTTAGTTTCATGTTTGTTTATTGATATCCCATGTGGGTCCTATCTATTAGACCTAGGAGAGGAGTGCCCAACCCCTTTTCTCTCCCATCCGAGTCTTATCCAGACTGATTTAACCGGTGTCTCGGGCTTTGGAGTCACTATTAAAACAAAATTGATTTTTGATGCTATTTGAGGAGGTATCATCACCTCTATTTCGACAACTGATGGGTGGCGACTTCAAATCAATCCAAGTGAACCGTTTTCGATGCTTACAATGCTAAATTAAACTAACCGAAACTCATCAACTGGATGTTTGAATTAGAATAGACATCGGGTTCTGCATTGCTCCATAACAGGTTCCGATTGCTTCCGCTTTACTTTTTCCCCCTTGAATTCCTTCTACCACAAGAACTGATTGGAAATAACATTTTATAGCACTTTATGACATTTCTGTAAGATGGGTAAACCCGAAAATTCATGGTATGCAACACTCAAATTGCATTCTCTTTATTGTCACAGTATTCAACGAGAATTGTTTAATAAATATCTACCCATGCGTTAACAATTCTAGATGAACAGAAGGCCTATGAAATGCCTCAGTCCCAAATACCTTACTAACGAGAGATTGAAGGAAATGAATGGGGTTATTTTTTGTGCTTTTCTTGCAGATTCAAAATTTGTGTATGCATTTAAGACTTGTATCCTATTCATGACTTGTTTTGACAATTTGTCTCGTAATCAATCACATCAGTGAAGTGTGGTTTTAAAACTCATGTTTAATTTTTTACTCTTTTTGTCATCCCACTTTCCTTAAATTGGCTTAAAATGCTACTTTAATAGTTTCTATTCTTTATGGTACTATCATGACAGAAATGCTTAAAATATCTCATAATTTCATGTTGATAAGCTGCCGTTTGGGGCTTATGCTTTGAGGCAAATCTTATAGAAAACACCCTAAGGCTCAATCTGGAGGCACACACCTAAAAGTATAGGTTACTTGCTTCACAACTTGAGGTGTTTTATGTTAATTATGTGTTTCATGAATTAATTGCAATAGGTTTCTCATTACATGATTAAGTTAAAGACCCTTTATGTTTTTTTTTTCTCTTGATATGTGCTTGTGATTTGATTTAATATGTATAATGTTTAATACAGTAATGATGTTTTGATTCTAGTGTGTACTTGTCTTAGACCACCAGGCCCAAGCCCAAATGGGGGGAGGGGGGTTGTGTCTAAAACTTTTGCCAGACTCTTATGGTCATGGATAGCCATTGGGATGGGGCTTTATGATGATTGTTTTGCAAATCATGAATGGATAGACTAACACCTAACACTTGGGAACACGAGTAGACAATTGCAAGAAATAAACTAACACTCCATAAATATTAGTTTGATCACTTCATCTGAAAGCTTAAAGGTTGTCTTGTAGGTAATAGAGGGATATTTGTGCATATTAGTAAGTGTGCATGTGCTTTGTATGTAGCAATTCTAGATGACAGTAATGATAGTAATAATGTATCCAAAATTTTCTATGAACTTTATGTATTTTTATTTTATATTTTTTTGTTTTTTATTATTAATTAGATGTRAATTGCAAAATGTAAATCTGATTGCATAAACACCTCATCCAAATATGTGATAATCAAATCGAGTTGTGAAGTTTCAAGTATCATTGATAGGCCTATTTGCTTGGTTAGACTCTTTTTTTTTTTTGTAATGTTTTATCTTGGGTAAATTACACGGACCCCCCTTGTACAAGGTTGTGAAGGTGATGCTTGTAATCGTCACAACCTTCTAGCTTATATGGTTCTTTAGTTCATTGTTATATCATCTAAAGTTAAGGTCTACACCCTGAATTCCAACTCCTAGAGAAGGGTGGGGGATGCCCTTATCAACCTCAAATACAAGATATCTAGGATACTGAGTGGTGCCACTCCTTAGTTTTTTTTTTTTTTTTTTTTGACGATTGCTTTCATATGAATATGGGAGTTCTTTAGAGAATGTCTTTGTATACTTTGTAATTACTATAAGTTTTGTCCCGATCATTCACTTTGTCTAACAAATGGGTTGATCATGTCATTATGATCACCTACTTAAGTGAATACTCAGACTGTCCCAACATACCCAGGTTTTGACCCCCTCTAAGGATTTCACTGATTGGCATATTGAAGACAGCCCAATCCGACACCTAGTGTAGTACCATAATCGAGTCTAGGGGTCTGGTGTAACATTTCAATTTTGCCTATCTATCACCAAGGTCTAAGGCAATAATGAAATTTGGTCCAGTTCAGGGTTTCAAGAAAACTCACATGTATGTACCTTAGGTATCACCCTAGCAGTTGAGACAAGCCACCCTAACCCACTTGGCGGCACATCAGTGTCAGCCTTGGCAGAATAAATCTCCCCAGATCTATCCAACAGTTATGAAGATTCTAAACTAATATGAGCTTCATAAGTGTCCAGTTTAAGGGTATTACAAAGAAACACACCAAAATAACATCAATTATGCACTTTATTCATTTACAATAAATGACAATAAGTACATCAATCTGATTGGAGCTAAGGGCATACACTGTCTAACACTTTCTGTATTGCTCCATCATAAGACCTCAAAACAAATCCGAAGACAAAGAAGCTTATCAGTACCACTTACCGATAAGAAGTGGACCAATGTAGATACATAGTGGTCACTCCGGCCACCAGACCACAGAAGGTGTCGAATCAATACCACACGGATGCCTATGATGAGTCCATAATTCATCGCACATGTGCAATGAGTTCATAACTCATCACACGTTTGCGATGAACTCGTACTCAAAACGAGTTGCTATGAACTTTGGCTGCGTAAATTTGCGATGAGTTTCAGACATGTGCGGGCCCACAATGAGTTTTGGATGCGCATGAATCTACGATGAGCTCAAAGCCATTGTAGGCCCATGACAAATATGGAATTTTTGTACAACCAGGAATAAATATTAGATACACGTACGTCTTTAAACCACGCGCGTGGCGAGACATTCTATAGGCCTAATAAGAGCATGCCGGCTAAGTGATGACTTCACCTACACCACGTCGATTAAAAGGGTCATGAAATGAAGTAGCACACACAAAATATGAGAATCCTTGGACGAAAGAAAAATTCGTCCCTGAGATATCTCGTGAGACACGTGGAAAAACCCTAGCAGTGTTCCTTGACAACTCTTAGTGAATCCAATATTCCCTTTCCTAGTGGGAATTAAATGCTTTTGACTCCTTCCTTTCAGGAACTAAGGATCCCTCCCTATAAATAGGAGTCTGTCTCATAACGAAATTATCATCCTGTCATTCACATTTGCCCTAACCTTTAACCTACCTCCTACATACGGTCTTCCTTTCTCCTTCAAGGAGACCCCCGTACATAGCCTCACCACTACACTCACACTTGTAGTATTTCCATTCAGATAACATGTCATCTTTAGAGAAGCTGAAATTAGAGCTTAAAACAGTTAGGGGTGAGTTTAAAATGTCAAAATCAAATTGTGGATCTACACGTGTTTAAGGTAAGAATATCCTCTTTCATTTTGTAATTTTTTATGGGCCATAGAAATAGATCATATATTCACAAAAGAAAGGGAAATCTCCAAGTTTCCAGCATAAGAGAGGATAACCTTAACCAAAATGTAAGAAACATAGCTCTCTTGCACGACACTCCTTAACTCAATAAGCTATAGATCAACTCAAAACTATCCAACTACATAATGCATTGTGAAGTCACCACCATTTTCACTACTCTTAATCATTTTACTTGAATACACTAGGTAGATAAGTAGATATACCTGAATATTTTCTAGATGGGTACATATCCCTTGAAACACATTAGGTAGGCACGATTAAAACTCTTTCTCCATTAAGAGTAAAAGTGTTTCTAGAAACTCTTCTAATCCTTTACTTACA